TGCAACTCAGTCTCTGCAGATCGCATTGTAATGGCTGCGTCAAGGTTGCTTCGTGCTGTGGCTGCATTCGTAATACTATTGTCTTTTGCAGCTGGATCTCGTAAATTGTATTGGAGTGGCTGCATGAAGGCTGCGAAATGGATTTGTTAGCAGAGTTAGTGTTTTTCCCGAGAGCGTCTGAGCGCAGGGTTCTTCCAATAGTGGGGGTCTGTAAAACATCTTCTCATCTTCACATCTTCTCATCTTCACATCTTCTCCTCTTCACATCTTCTCATCTTCACATCTTCTCATCTTCACATCTTCTCATCTTCACATCTTCTCATCCTCACATCTTCTCCTTATCTTCTCATCTTCACATCTTCTCATCTCCTCATCTTCTCATCTTCACATCTTCTCATCTTCACATCTTCTCGTCTTCACATCTTCTCATCTTCACATCTTCTCACATCTTCTCATCTTCACATCTTCTCACATCTTCTCACATCTTCTCACATCTTCTCACATCTTCTCACATCTTCTCACATCTTCTCACATCTTCTCACATCTTCTCATCTCACATCTTCTCCTCTTGCCCTCTTGCCCTCTTGCCCTCTCCTTCTTTTCTATTTCTCTTTTGAAGGCGGGAGCAGGGGCAGTGCCAACGAGACGGCACGAAACGCAACCCTTTCGCACGAAATGAGGGTCGATCGGCAAAAACTGGGGTAAAATTGCGATTTGACTTGTGCCGGAGCAACTCTTTCGCACGAAATGAGGGTCGATCGGCAAAAACTGAGGTAAAATTGCGATTTGACTTGTCCCGGAGCAACCCTTTCGCACGAAATGAGGGTCGATCGGCAAAAACTGTGGTAAAATTGCGATGACTTGCCCCGGAGCAACTCTTTCGCACGAAATGAGGGTCGATCGGCAAAAACGGAGGTAAAATTGCGATTTTACCTGTGCCGGAGCAACCCTTTCGCACGAAATGAGGGTCGATCGGCAAAAACTGAGGTAAAATTGCGATTTGACTTGCCCCGGAGCAACCCTTTCGCACGAAATGAGGGTCGATCGGCAAAAACTGAGGTAAAATTGCGATTTTACTTGTCCTGGAGCAACCCTTTCGCACGAAATGAGGGTCGATCGGCAAAAACTGAGGTAAAATTGCGATTTATCGTGTGCTGGAGTAATCCTTTCGCAGGAAAAGGGATTTGTGTGTACGAGCGTTTCTGTGTAAAGATGTTTGTGTGTAAAAGTGTTTGTGTGTACAAGTGCATCTGTGTAGAAGTCTTGTGTGTAAAAGTGTTTGTGTGTAAACGGGTTTGTGTGTACGAGTGGTTCTGTGTAAAGATGTTTGTGTGTAAAAGTGACCGTATGTAAAATTGCATCTGTTTAAACGCGTTTGTGTGTAAAAGCGTCTGTGTGTAAAAGTGTTTCTGCGTAAAAGTGTTTGTGTGTAAAAGCTTCTGTGTGTACAAGCGTCTGCGTGTAAAAGCGTCTGTGTGTAAAAGTGTTTGTGTGTAAAAGTGTTTGTGTGTAAAAGTGTTTGTGTGTAAAAGTGCCTGTGTGTAAAAGCGTCTATGTGTAAAAGCTTCTGTGTGTAAAAGCAGCTCCTGTGTGTAAAAAGGTCTGTGTGTAAAAGTGTCTGTGTGCAAACGTGTCTGTGTGTAAAAGTGTCCGTGTAAAAGCGTCTGTGTGTAAAAACAGCTGTGTGTAAAAGCGTCTGTATGTAAAAGGTTCTGTGGGTAAAAGCTTTGTGTGTAATAGCCTCTGTGTAAAAGCTTCTGTGTGTAAAAGCTTCTGTGTGTAAAAGCTTTTGTGTGTAAAAGCGTCTGTGTGTAAAAGTGTTTGCGATGCAAACTATTGTCTTGCACTTCTCACTATTTTGTCTTGCTACTCCTCTTCTCGACTGCCTAAAGCACATCTTTCATATATTGTTTGTAAAATTGTGTCTCCATACTAACAAGAGAAGACCCTGCTCCTCTACGCTCTCGGGCCATCCGTCGTCTAGTTTTTGTTGCACGTAGGTTTAGAGCGGTGTGAAGTGCGGGGCGTGAAGAATGCAGTGTGAAGTGTGAAGTGTGAAGGAAGCAGTGGGAAGTGAGAAGTGTGAAGTGTGGAATGTGAAGTGTGAAGTGTGGAGTGTGAAGTTTAAGTTTGGAGTGCGAAGAGCGCAGTGTGAAGTGTGAAGTGTGAAGTGTGAGGTTTGGAGTGTGAAGGAAGCAGTGAGAAGTGAGAAGTGAAGTGCGGACTGTGAAGTGTGAAGTGTGGAGTGTGAAGTGTGAAGTGTGGAGTGTGAAGTTTGAAGTTTGGAGTGCGAAGAGTGCAGTGTGAAGTGTGGAGTGTGGAGTGTGAAGACTTTGCTTCGTCTCTCGCTGAAAAAAAACCGCTTGTCGAGGGAAGGACACGGTCGGGACAGGTTTTTCTTCCAACTATAGGTCATTTATTCTTGGGAAACTTCCGCCGCCGGCTTGCCCGGGTCTATGTTAGGTGCCCATTGTTTCCCCATAGCTCATTCCATTTATTTGAACTGGCAAAGGTCTGGAGATGCTATGTTAAGCACATACGAGCGCCGTACTTAAGTCACATCAGGCGGGAAAAGGCACATCATCCCCATGGCACGGCGGCGATACAGAAAAGTCACATCAGGGAAGAAGAATCACCATGGCACAGCAGCAGGCAAGCAGCAGCAAGCAGCAGCAAGCAGCAGGCAGGCAGCAGGCAAGCAGCAGGCAAGAAGAAACAGCAGCAAGCAGCAGGCAAGAATAAGCAGCAGCAAGCAGCAAGCAGCAGGCAAGCAGCAGGTGAGCAGCAGGTGAGCAGCAGGGTTCCCAAAACCTCCAATAGTACATCATAATCATCATGGCAGCAAGTAGCCAGATTGGCAACATCGACCAGGAGTTTTTTCCTTATTCAATCTATTTTGTAAAATTGTTGATTTTGAAGCTTTTTTGGGTCCAGTAAGGCTCCAATAGTACATCATAATCATCATGGCAGCAAGTAGCCAGATTGGCAACATCGACCAGGAGTTTTTTCCCGAATGCGTAGCAAGGGTTCCCGTTTCACTCTGGGGGTCTGGGGGTTGAGGGTGTGTTCGCTCGACGTTGCTTCCGCGTCCGCAACCGTCCGCAACCGTCCGCGCGATCCCCGTATGGCCGTGCCTATGGGAAGTTCTGCAGAGGTGGTCCTTTTTGGTAGTTTCAGACGTCTCGTTGCTTCGTTTCGCGTGGCAGGCGTGCACTTCGTGACATTCAGACGTGTTTTGTAACGTGTCGAAAGTCGTTTTGTGTGGCAGGCGCAATACTTTTGCGAGGTTTTCAGAAGATGTGTTGCATTTTTCGTGGCAGGCGCAGCACTTTGGACATGTCCATCGTCATTTTTCGTGGCAGGCGCAGCACTTTAGACGTGTCGTGTTGCGTGTTATTGCAAATCGCATTGGCAGGGCTGCGTCAAGTGGCGACAAGGTGCAAATTCCGTGGCAGGCGTGGCATTTTGTGCGATGTGGTGAAAATTGACGGAAGCCTCGCACGAAACATCGATTTTGAGGTTGCACATTTTCAGGTTCCAAGGAAAACTCGTAGGAAAACGTCGATTTTGAAGCTACAAAGTGTGAAAATTGGAGGAAGTCTCGCACGAAATGCTCGTTTTGGTGCTCCCACCTGTCTCGTCTCGGGTCTTTGGTTTTCCTGTGGCCTCGCCGTGTCAATGGGGGAAGCTGCAAAACTTGTCCTTTTGTCATGTTGCCAACTGTGAAAATTGGAGGAAGTCTCGTACGAAATGCTGGGTTTTCTACATCCACGTGTCTTGTCTCGAGTCGCTGGTTTTCCTGTGGCGTCGCCGTGTCTATGGGGGAAGCTGGAAAACGTCTCCTATTCGAATGTGTCCAAGCAGGTTGTCATGCCGTTTTGCGTGGCAGGCGTGGCACTTTGTGACATTCCAAGCTGTTTGATAACGTGTTGAAAATGTCAAAATTGGAGGAAGTCTCGCACGAAATGTTCGTTTTTCTGCATCCATGCGTCTCGTCTCGAGTCTCTAATTTTTCCTGTGGCGTCATCGTGTCTATGGGGGAAGCCGCAAAATCTCTCCTTTTCGAAGGTTTCCAAGCAGGTTGTCATGTCGTTTTGCGTGGCAGGCATGGCGCTTTCCTCACTCCACACTCCACACTTTACACTCCTCACTTTACACTCCACACTCCACACTCTACACACCACACTCTACACTTTCCATTCCAGACTCCACACTACACTTTACGCTCCACACTCCACACTTTACACTCCCCACTCCGCACTCCACACTTTACACTCCACACTCCACACTTTACACTCCTCACCCAAACCCTCGCTTTAGCTTTGTAGCATGAGATCTCAGCCTGCATGGCATGCACTGTCGTGCAAAGGTTAGAGTACGTAGAAAGCCAGCTGATCCCAGTGAAAGAAACCAGGGTGGGACACATTTGAACACGGAAAAGCTGGTAGCACTAGTCAATAAATTCCAGATGAGTCCTGGATTTGGAGATATTTGAGATTATTTGAAGCATCTTGAAGCCGTTGCCACCAATGGCCATTGCCCACCCAGGATTCCACCCAAGCGATTTTGGGCATCGATGCCCACGGCCTGGTCAACGAGTGGAACAGTGCCATGGCATTGATGCTTTCACGAAAATGGAAATGCATGGAAATGCAGCTACGCCCAGTGCTCACTTATCAGATCCTACCAAGCCTCCAACCTGCTAGCTGAGCCTAATCGGAGAGTATTGCACATGTGCTCTCCACATGGCCTTGCAAATTTGGTAATTCACCCGATCCCATGCAATGCATCATGAGTCTGCAAAGACGATTTGTGATAGGTGCTGCGGCGGAACTTTTTGGTTTCGGCGGCCTCGAGGCTTGTCACTGGACGGTCTTATATAAGAATGAGCTCACGTTTGTCTCATGACGTCTCTGCATGTGTTTGCTAGAGGGGAAGGGCAGAATCAAAGACTATGAAGACGCGCTCCCCGCTGCCGCTTTGCTCTAAAGCAACGTTCTATTTGCTTGGTCCTTTCGGATCCTCCGATTTCATACAGCAGGCTGCTTGCCATCACATCGGCACACTGCAAGGGCCCAAAGAGGTGCAAAACGAATTCGTCCAGCAGATTCGAGCAGATGTCTTGCAATGGTTTGAAATGCATCAATCATCAGTAATCATCGTGTCAGTGTTATAGCAGTCTTGAACTTGCGGAAGCAGAGATGTATGCGAGGACCTCCAACTTCGGTATGCAGGCGCTGTGTCAAGGGATCCTGGCGTAGTTTCTGTCATGTTGCGCCGCTTTTGGATTCAAAGGCGTCTCTATGGCATTTCTTTCGCTCCTTTTGCCCTTCCTACTCCCTGATCTCAGAGGGTTTTGAACGCAAAGATGAACAGGTGTTTTCATGATTCTTCTTGATGCCCTGGCCGGAATCAAAGTGCGCGTGGGCAATGTCTAACCCAAACAGAAAGACTCCTATTTGCAGGCCTCATTCGATGCTGGATGTCTTCTCAGCTTGGGCGCTTTGATGCGATTAGCAGCAGCGGCTCTGAATTATGAGATCTATTGCATCCTTGACGGCAGCCTGGCAGTAGTTGGGACCACCTTTTTGTATTTGCATTCATTTTGTAGTTGATTCCTTTCAAAACCTCATTTGCATTTTGTAGTTGTATATGTGGAAGTGAGAAGAGGTGGAAAAAAGGAAACACTGCGTGACATGTACATGGACACAAATAGATCATGAAGCCACAGAATGCAATCTAACAAACTGCAGGGGGTCAACACTTGATCCAACTAAATTCAATCACTGGCAACTACAAAATGTTCTCCGAAATTATGTTGGTCGGAACTTTGGATGGCATAGACCCAACTACAAAATGTCATTGGGACAAATCATGTTAGCAATTCCGATTTTCAGCTATTTTTTAACTTCAGATGCATTGGATTTTGTAGTGCTGAATTTGAATTATTTTCCGAGTCAGAAAAGGTTGTGTTCTGTATTTTGTAGCTGCAAAAAAGGTACCATGCACTGAATTTTGTAGTTGCGCACCGTATGCATTGCGTTTTGTACCTACCAAAAGCCTCTGCACAACTCCTCCCCCCTTATCTGAACCCTGATCTGAGTGCCATTTCCTCTTCGGAGGTGACTTTTGCTGTTTCATCTTTTCTGCGTTCGAGGGATATTTTAATGGGATTGATGGCGTTAACGGTTAACGTACTTGCTTTGGGATAGTGTAATGGCTTTGTTGGGATGTTGAAAATGTCGATTCCAGTGAAAGTGAATTGGGCAACCTTTTGAGATCCAAATGGATATCGCTTTTCCAGCTCTTGAAGTTTGGACAGGAACCTTTGATTCCCCCCACACAGACCATCATCTACATGTACCCCAATGATACCTTCGGGGACTCGAGTTTTTGGGCAACGCAGTATGAAAGTACACGGACAGAAAGGTGATTGTTCGAATCCTAACTTCAGCACTTCTTCTCTCAGGGCTTGGAACCACATGAACAGAGCATCAATTAAACCGACAGATTTCATCTTTGTTTAAACCCATCTTGGCAGCAAGTTCTGGCACAGGCTCAAGACCTAAGGCAGCCTTTATGTCAAACGATCTTAGATCCCAAGACATCGAAGCAATCAGCTGGAGCAACAGCATTTTGGAGTGCCGATTTAGTGTTGGTGAATCACGAGGGACCTCAGTGATCTTTGGATCCAAATAACCCAAGACTACAAGGCGAGCTTTAGCTTGGGAAGTCTTTTGAGCTTTCTTGGGGTCACGATCTCTTTCTTCGATGGGTTTCCAAGTGAGGATCCATCGACGCTTCAGCACTTGCTCCGGTGGGATTTGATTGCGGAACATTCTTTGGACTGTGCCTGTTTTCAACCAATTTGCAACTTCGCTCTCCCTGGCGGCAGCAAATTCTTCTCTCTCGGAGGGTGTCAATTCAGACAGTTTGATCTCTGATCTCTGTCTTTTTGCTGCGGAAACCAAAAATGACATCTCTTCAGGCCGGTCGTCTTGCTTCCATTCTTGAATGTCAGCGTCAGTGACCAAAACTTCAGCTTTCCAGGCTAGATCTTCTTGGGTATGCTCTAGAACATTGATCTCTGCATCTATACTATGTAAACCTTCACATATGAGATCATCATCATCATCATCACCATCATCATCACCTACAGGAACCGTAACATCTTTGGGATCTTCTGGAATTTGGTTTTCTTCCGGTGGCTCTCCTTCTTGCTCTGAGGTGGCACGGGATGGAACTTCGGGTTCATTATCAGGTTGATCTCTTCGACTGGAGTTTGGATTATTGGAGTTGGATTCTTCAGTTGATGGCATGTTGGGGGCTGTCAGAGTCATTGGAACTGGCATACCAAGATCTGCATATCGGGTCCCGAGACTTCGCTCGGAAGTTGCTGCGCATTTTCTGAGATGGATGGTTCTGCAGGCCTTCACGGGTCTCACATGTTCTCGGGCACACCGGTAAAGTTTACTGGACATAGTAACCCAAACGGTTTGTTGGTTCTCATGCACAACAACTTTCATGGGACCTTGCCAATATCCTTGCGCTTGTCCATGTCCCTCTTTCCATGCCATGACACATTCTCCTGGCTGATAAGCTCCCCTATGAGGGTGAGAGCGGCGCAGCATGGCTCGACGCAACACGGAGTCATTGTCAGCACTGTGGAACGCCCTTGTGGCTGTCTCACGGAATGCCAACTGCTGACGGAACTTGATTCCCTGGGCATGTTCAGACCCAACAAGCAATGTGCAGGCAGGAGATTGTCACTACTGACTGATTCCGGGGCAAAACTTCCTTTCAGGCTGCATGCATTTTTGGCTTGTATGCACCACCACAAGGCTTTCTGAAGGTCTGCATAATTGTTCACGGCATGTTCACTGTTGAACTTGGTTAGGTTAGCATCTTATCCAGAATGGCCCCATGTCTTTCGGCTTTTCCGTTTTGGAAGTGAGCTTCCGGGGATATGGTGGTGCCCTTGATGTTATGACTTTGCAGGAAAATCATGAACGCTTCTCCATTAAATTCTGAGGCCGCATCTACCAAGATTTCACCGGGTGCTGCTGCCCAAGATAACCACATAGTCATCAGAGCTTGGACGGCATCTTCTGTGATCTTAGATGGTGCAACATGTGCCATGTGAAAATTTGTGGCCCAATCGATTACACGGTACAGATGGTATGCTCCGCCCTTGTTGTTGGTCGAGGTTAGTCCATCAATGAAGATTCGGTCATTGAAATCCATGTCATTTTTCAGAGAACTTGGTCGAGCTGACTTTGGGTTGAGAGTTCTGAATGCAAATGGAACACTGATAGTTCCGTGCAGCTTTCACCATGTCCGGTCGGAAACCTTGCTGGAGCACTGGGGTGTCCGAGATTCTTATGGATCTTGGCTAGCATTTGCTGATCACCTTGGAAAGATTTTTGACTGATTCATGTATTGGGTTATGGCTTGGGATATTCTGGGTGGAGTCTACATGTAAAGGATTATGGATTTGATGGGTATGAGATGGATTGGATGTTTCTTGATGGCTCTCCATGGTCATGATCTTGATTGCTTTCCTGGGTAATCCTCTGGGACATTTCTGGTGGTGCAACAGGTTCAGGAACATTGCTCCCAGGCTGACCTTCACTGGCAGACCCGTCGGTGTCACGGGTTGCGGATGCATCCGGACGCATTTATGCAGGCTGCAGCATCACAGGCAAAAACCGTTATATTGATCCGCCATGCATGTGATGGCCTAACCCTTTGGCGCTGGGACAGTTCAGACCATTTTTCCCACTGATCTTATGTTCACCTCCCCCGCTAGTTCTAATGTTTTTTAAACTTGAAAAAAGCAAAATAAAAAAAAAGGAAAACACATGGAAAATCAAAAAGCAAAACTTCAAAATCGAAAAAAACAGGAAGCAAAATAAATGGGAAAACAAATGGAGAGGCAAAAAGGAAAAACAAGGAAAAAAATGGACTTGTCCATTTGCATGTTTGTTGCTTTTTTTTTTGTTTTTTCGATCTGCTTTTTTTTGCTTTTGTTTTGCTTTTATTTTGCTTTTTTTTTGCTTTTTGCCTGTAAAAAAAGCAAAATAAAAGCAAAAAAAAGCAAACAAAAAGCAAATCAAAAAAGCAAAAAAAAAGCAAATGGTCATTTTTCCATTTTTTCAATTTTTTCCATTTTTCCTCCTTTTTGTCTTTCCTTTTTTTCCCCCTTTTTCCCCTTTTATTTTGCTTTTGTGTTTTTTGGATTTTGCTGATTTGCTTTTTAGTTTTTCCATTTTTTTTGCATTTTTCGCGCTTTTTTCAAGTTTTTAAGAAATAAGAATTAGCGGTGGTTTGGTGAACTTAACACTGATCTTCGGCAAAGATTTTCGTGGTACCTCTCATTGACAAACACTGCCACATCATCTGCAAACATCATGGACTGGACAGGACATTCTTTGGGGTACTGCAGCTTACACAAGACTTTGGCCATGTCTCTTGCAAACTTTCGGGGATAAGATTCTGAAAACACAGATCTGTTGATTATGTGTTTATCCCTTACTGTGGACCCCTCAATTACCTGATGTTCATGCTGTCCCATGCATTTCTTGTTCTTCAAACTTTCGGCTACTCGTGGAGAGGTAGTTAACACTGCCGTCCCTTTCTTGATATGTTTACCATTTTGGGGATCAACCAGATTCCCTGCAGTGCACATGTCAAAGTCCACAGCCAGCGTGGCTTGATGGATCTCGCTGAGGTATGGCAGCTTCAACATGAGGGATGCCTTGGGACTGTTCCCAGTGCATGTGACGATTGCAGGACACTTGATACCGCAGCAAAACAACCCCTAAGGCAATCTGTTCCAGGTGTTTCAAGCTACAGCTCTGCAAGTCATCCCATGCTTGAATGGATCTGCTTCCATTCAGGGTGGACCATCCTGACCACGGTTCGCATGATGGAGAAAACCACAAGTGCTCAGGCCTTTTGGAAACAACCGTTTCAAACAGCATGTTCCTACCTTCAAACGACTGGAGATCACATTGTTCAAGGCCCATGCGTTTAGCTTTGAAACCAAGCTGTTGCACTTGATGAGTCAACTGGCTCTTTGGACCCCAAAATACCTCCAAGAGGTTCAACCGGCAGGATGTCTGGGATTGCTTGGAATTGGTCTGGATGACTTTACCCAATTCTTCAGTGTACTGACCTACCAAACGAACAAACCTACGGCGTTCTTGGCAAGTGTGAGATTCTAAATCCTCAGTATTATACACACTGGAGCATGGGTCTCCGGCAGCTAACATCCCTACCATCTCCAGACGCTGTTCATTCACTGATCGATGGGTGTCGCAGCTCTCACTTGACCCTGATGGATTGCCATCTGCTCGAGGTGGCCCAAGATGTTCTGGACGGCATTCTCCAGATGAAGCATCCTTCCCTCCAGATGATGGAAATCGGGCTGAGCTTCGATCAACTCCTGGGTGGTGAGGTCGATGTCCCAATCGGTCAGACCCTCTGATGCCACAGGCACTTCTGGGCGGGCCTTGTGGCTTTGGCCATCAACTTCTGGTTGTCCCATTCTCCTCGATAGGCATCTTCTGGTGGAGCTGTGGGGCTGACTCCTGCACCGTGATCTCTTCCCCTTCCAGTTCTGCACGTTTGACTTTCAGTTCGATATTGCATCAACAGGCGATGGACACCTTTGGTGCTGTTCTGATAGTGCTTCACGAACCACGAGATCCACTGTTGGTCGTCGTTCCAGACTTTCTGAAACGAATGGCCCAGGTGCTTGGTCCCGGACTCGATCTTCAATTGGTCGAGTTCCTGCGTGGAGTATCGAGACACGTTTGGCAGAGGCTTTGCCACTTTTACCTAGAGCTTCTGCAGGCGCTGGCTCAACGACGACATGAGGCGGATCAACAGTTTTGAATTTTGTCAAGTGCAGCAACAGCGGGGAATGACTCTTGAGGATCTTGAGGTGGCTGGCACATTTTCGGACATTCGGTTGTGGTGGTTTGGGGTTCTTTGCACCCTTGGTTATTATTCCCTTGTGGAGGGTTACCAACATGTTCACTTGGACCTTTGGTTACCACGGCTTGACACAACCCTGGACTAGGCTGACATGACTTCACAACGGGACTGCCGGCACTGTCTTGATGGCTCGCATGTTTTGGCGGCTCGGAATCGGCCAAGTGAGTCTCGGCAGGACGTCCTCCTTCCGATGTTTTGGCCGTGTTGGCCGCCAGGTCATTCAAATCAATCAAAAACAGTCGCTTCGGTGTCAAAGTCAGTGGATACTCTTGATTTTATTTCTTGGGCCACAACACATGTCTTTCCACATCAATGACTGCACGCATAGCTCTGAGTAAAGTGTTTGACAGTAAAAACATGTAAAAACGGAGTTGACCCTGGCACGATTGCAGTTTTCAAAAGCAAATCTTGGAGAGGAACTACCAGTGCCTGTTCGCTCTGCAGGGTGCCATGGTTGCCGAATCTGGATGTCACATGGCAAGGACAGCGTTGCAAGTTTTTGCGACTGCTCGGATGCAAGTTGTTCATCACATCAGCAACCAAATTGATCCCAATTACGGTCTTGGTGGCTCCTAAGTCCAAAACACTCAGACTGCTATGCGTGGTAAACATAGCTGGTGCATCATACGACGGCTCAGACGTAGCATCATAGGTGCACTCATCGATGGTCCCTTCACTGGCTTCAGGAAACTGCAGAAACTCCAAGGGTATGGACGACTCAACACTGACGAAGGACGTCGGGGCAGTGGCATTCGGCTGCGAGGCTCTGACATTTCGTTCAGGGCACTCTGCGTTCCAGTGACCAACCTTGTTGCAGATCCTACACCTGGAAGTTAAGATCCTCTGCTCTAACGACTTGCGGGAAGATGAATGGCCCTTCTGAAACTTGCCCTTCACTCGACCTTTGGTAAAAGCCTTTGGCTTTTCCACCACCTGACACTGACACTGGCCAGAATCCACGAAATCGGACCTTTTCACTCAAGCGGCGACGAGCTTCTGAGTATGTGTTGAATGCTGCAGCGAGCTCTTCATCTGCTTGAATCCAGTCTGAGGCGCCATTCTCGAAGTCGGTGATGAATGCAGCGTCGGAATCTCCCTCCTGCATCAACACTTCCTACCCTCTCATCTTCATTCATGCCGTCACCTTCAGCAACATACACCGCATCCTGCGTCTCATCATCATCGGCTTCTGCTAACAGAGTGGCTTGGTCGTAAGTCTTTTGCTTGGCATGCTTGGCGCCGGTCACATCTTGAAAGAATAACTCACACGTTGCACAGATAACTCACCTGAACCTACAGCATCGGCATCCACCAGGACTTTCTTCTTGTCGTCCGTGGCCAACGTCGACCCCCTCAGCGTGACATAGGCCTGTAGGTCTGACAACTTGAGGTTTTTGCTATTCAGCTGAGTCCACATGATGTCAGCTCTGGCGAGATCTGGGTCTGCCGACTCATCTGCTTTCTGTACTCACTTATACAAAGCCCTTTCTGCATGTTCATACTTTTTCTCAAGGTCAATCTGGCCCCAGTGACCCCCTAAAATCTCGATCAGACGCTTGATGATGCTTGATGGACTTTCTCTCGTTCTCCATGAGCTCGGTCTGGTGCTGTTGCAACTTCATGAATGCAGACCCTGAACAGTTCAGAATGAGACGTGTTGTCAATTCCGTGTACTTTCCAGTGGGCCAGGCATCAAGGAGCAGCATCACCTTTTGGGAGTATACCTGCAGATCATCTTTGGACGGATCAAAAATCGGTACAAGCGCAGCTATTTGATTGGTAACCATTGAGGCTGAATCGGTTCCTGCAGCTATGGCTCCATCGCCATCTGGCATGGCCAAGGCAGGAGCTCCTGGATCGCCTTCCGCACTATGGCAGCGGAGCTCCGCTACCAGTCTGAATGGCCATTCACACTGGTAGTCCTCTCTCTTCCAGGGCCTCCAAGGCGCAAACGCTGCTTTTTCCCCAAGCAGCCAACGGGCCACCGTCAAGTGGCAGCAGATGTTCAAATGCGCAACCAAAGGATGCCACGTCCTTGCAAAATAATCCCTGAGCAAAGTAGCTATGGCCAAGCAATGATCCCACCCGCCGCTTCACCTTTTCAATGGGCCCAGAGCCAAGTATTGCTATCCGCATGAGATATGTGGTCAAAGGACCCTTCCGTGGGATTATACCTTGACAGCTCTGGAGATTCCACTTCTATGGACTGCTGTTACACCTTGCAATGCTGGGAAATCCACACCACACACACATATATTAATTATATATATATGATTATATATGTAAACAATATCATATAATCAGAGAGAGAGAGAGATATTTATATATATATATACTTATTGTAAATGGCAGCAACTCCAGTTGTTGAGAATGATGACAACTCTGTTGTTGATCGAATGCCAAAATGATTAAATCAAATGTCCAAAAGATCAAACTGCAAACGTCCCACCACGCTCAGAGCAACCTCTGTTTTCCAATGCCAGCTGAAAGTGCAAAAGTCCCGGACTGAGAACACTGGGCTGGATGGTTTCGGTCTCAAGCTTCCAAAAAGGGTTGTTTCAGGCACCCTGGCCTATTGTATGTGGTCCCTGCCACACGTGCCCTATGGCTGCAAGGATCTAGGAAACCCACCCAGCCCTCACCTGACTTGCCCTGAGCCAAACGCTCCTGGAGTCGCGCAGCTGAGAGAAGGTTCGATTGGAGAACCTGGGCATGGTACTGGTTCTAAATTGGAAAAATCACATTCCCAAAATTTATTTTATTTTTGAAGTTTTGTTCGCTGGAAATTGTTGTGTTGATCTGGCTTTGGCATGGCTTGTTTGGAAATGTCATCATCGTGAGTGGAAATTTGGGATTGTTGCTTCAACCATTTTATACGATCTCTTGTTTTGGCACGCTCTTTCAACTAACGCTGATACGCTGATGCCATGGAAATGGTTTCTGCTGAAAGTGTGCTGGTGACGACCTTTTGGATCTTTTTGCTTCCCCAAATTAATGGGCTAATGGGGCATTCCACATTCTCTGAGATATTCTTATGGGTACCTACAATAATGCTACCGGCATAGGAGTAGGGTTTTGAGCTGGATGCAAAAGACGCGTCAGAAAACACCATAAACCTTAGATCTTCATGGGGTATGGACTTGATGGTGATGGTGGTATCATGATACCGCTTTGCTTCATGGAGGAGTCGATTGGCTTCTGCCAGCGTTTCAACTTGAGCACTGTTGATTTGGGATTGTAAACTGGAAAGTCTATTTGAAAGGTCAGGACGTGTATTGGTGGAAGCATATTGCAATGAACCAATTAATCCTCTCAAAAGACCGCGTTCTTTTTCGTTGATTGGAAGTTCAGGCTGAGTCTTACGGTTTATTTCGATTGGAATTGGGGGAATTTTACGAATGTAGTTGGATTGATTGAGAGTGATGTTAAAACTGGGATCCTGATTTACTTCAATACCTGTAAAAGTGAAAGAAGTCATCTTCTTGGCTCCAAAAGGGTATTTTCGCTCCAGTAGATTGATCACATGCTGAAATTTTTGGTTTCCTCCGCATATGCCATCATCTACATGGATACCCAGTACCCCCGTGATGGGTCCGGTCGCTGGACCAATACCTGCTGGTCTGGGCTGATCATTGTCAGGCACATATGAATCTTCACGGAGTACAAACACGCAAGGATCAAATGGGCAAGATTCCATTCCCAATCTGGTCAATTCCTGGACGAGACAATACCATATGCCATAAATATGGAGCATCGATTAGGCCATACGCCCCCTTTTGCAGTCTTGCTATCTCAGTAGATTTCATGTTTAAGGCATCTCGGAGCTCACTCACCGGGTCAATTAGGATTAATCTATCTTTTTGGGGTTGGCCCTGTAGAAATGCTGCTTTTATATCAAAAGATTGCAAATGCCACCCATGTGATGCAATTGTTTGAAGAATGACCATGCGTGAGGATCTACCAAGAGTGGGACTATCTCGGGGAATTTCTTCTAAGTGTGGGTCTAAATAACCTAACACTACGATTCTGGCCTTGGCTTTGTTTAGAATTCTGGCTGTCTGCACCTCCGTCGGCAACATCGAGTGGCTTCCATGTCAAAATCCATCTGCATCGTAGGATTTGATCAGCTGGAATCTGACCCCGCATGATGACCGACAAGGTTTCTGTTTTGATCCAGTTGCTCACTTCAACCTGCTTGGCAGCCTCGAACTCTTTCCATTCACTGGGGGTGAGCTCTGACAGTCGTACCTCAGTTCTCTGTTTCTTGGCATTGGTGGCTAAGAGGACCCATGCTTCCATAGGAGTTGGTATCTCATTAGCAAACTCAGGTGGTACAGACATGTCATATTCACACCTCCATGCGAGATGTTGGTCATCGCTGCTGGCCAATGCACATCCTTCTTCGGAGCAGGTGAAGAAGCTGTCTGCTTGATCTGTCGGAGATTGTGGGGTCAATTCATCGGGATTCTGGGTTATTTCTCTACTTGGTGCTTCGGGTTCTTGATCAGGTTGTTGCAAGGATTCACTTGCACTGCTGTCGTGTGGATCTTGTTCAGATGTAGTGGCTTGATGGTCTGCTGATGGCGTTCCTGGTGGCAACATGACGGTTGGTGTTTCAAAGGGTTCATGTTCTGGAATCGATTGCATAGCATCGGGATTCTGATAACTGCGGTTGATCTGTTGTTGAATTTGTGTCATGTCCTCCGGCAGATCGGGCCCATCGGGCTCTCCTTCTTCTGGGAGTGCCGACCGCACATTCTCTGGAGCACTGCGATAGAGTTTTCCTGCCTGGGTCGTCCATATAGTGTGGTTTTCATCTTGGATTACCACTCTGTGGGGACCTATCCAACTTTGTTTTTGGGGACCCGTAGAACGCCAAATCATTACCCACTGATTTTTATGGTACTGCCGACTGCCCCCTGGAAGGACACGACCGGCGAAGCATTGCCCTTCTCAGTGCATCACTGTTGTCAGCTGTGTGGAAAGCTTTCCTAGCCACCTCTCGGAGCTTGAGTTGTGTTCGGAACTCCTCGGTCGTGTATTCGGCATTTTCTTGGATGGCTGCTGTGTGGGCTGGTAGCGACGCATCACTGAGCACCGAACCTGGAAGTCGGCTTTGTTTTCCGAATACCATGATTTCGGGACTGTACCCGTGTCTTATCATCATGCTATTTTTGGCCTGGCAACATTGATTCCACGCAAGTTGAAGTTGTTGATAGCTGGATATGGGTACCTCCATGTCCACTTTAGACAACATGTGTTGTAAGAAACTTCCATGACGTTCTATGGTTCCATTCTGCCAATGAGCTTCGGGTGCAACTGTCGTACATCGAATGGAAAATCGTTGAAGGAATTGTTGGAATTCTTCACTGTTGAGTTCCGTACCTGAATCAACCTTCATTTCTTGGGGGGCTCCAGCCCAGTTCAGCCAATGCTGATTCAGCAAAGCAATCACATCTCTGGTGGTATGTGATGGTGCAGCAAACGCAGTGTGGAAATGGGTTCCCGCATCTATGACATGATACAGTTGAAAACTTTGTCCCAGTTGATTGGTCCATTTAATCCCATCAAGATATATTCGATGATTGAAATCTAACAGGGGTTTCAACCTTCCGGGTCTTTGATGCTTGGGGCCCGTGCTGTTTGCACATATGGAACATTTGAGCTCCAGTGCGGCCTTCACCATTTCTGGTCTCTGTCCATTGGATTGCAATACACGTGCAAGTCTTTCATTGGAGGGGTGCCCTAAGTTCTTGTGAATAGTCAACAACTGGCTTTGTTCCCATTTCGGCAAGGCTTGAAAGTGGCTACCCTGTTCTTGACGGTTAATTTCACTTGGCACACATTCGGTTTTGGGAACAGAGGCCGTACTCGTGGTGTCACGTCGTGGATGTTCATCGCCATCTGGTGGTGCTTGGTGGACAGGCGGCACTGATGCGATATCAAAATCGGCTGGCATCGTTTGATCAGTGATCACAGTCTCGCGGCTGGTACTGACTTCCGGTGGAGTGCTGGGCTGTCCGGGTGTCTCCCTGGCTTCAAAGTCTTTGGCAAACACTGTGATGTTGATACGGCACGGGTGTGCTGGTCGAATCAGCTGTCTGTGGGACAACTCTGACCACTTTTCCCATTCTCTCTCATACTTGATCTCCCCGGATGGCCGGAGAATCATTATTGTTTTACGGTATGGTGCAAGGGTATGGTGAAATTTGTCAGGTGGTGGTAAGGTTCGATCTGTGCCTCTGCATGCTACAGCTGTGATAATTTGACGATCTGGAAAAATGGATTGTAATTGTTGAAGAATGGTGGAACTTTGAATCTCACGTTTACCAACCCTGGGAAGTATCTTTTGGATTTCTTGAAACACTTCTTGACATTCCTTTAAGCTTGGTACTGGACCTTGCTTACCTTCCAGTCTTCTACGTTTCACTCCGGTCTCATCACTTTCCTCCGGAGTCGAAAGCTGGGAACGAGCAAACTGGTTACGGCCGCGGTGCTTGGCTGGCCTCAGAACCATTCGCTTCTGACTGGCAGCAAGGGCTGGTGCCTCTTCACCTTTGGTATGTTGACACAGTGCAATCCCGGGGCGCCAGTGAAAAGGCCATTGGTGGTCATTCTTGCTCAACGTCTTAGCAACCAATCTTACAAACTTTCGTGGATAGATTTCTGAGAATTTGGTTCTAAGAACGGATTGGCCATGAACACATGTTGATCCTTCAAGTTGCTGATGGGTATGGTTCTTGCGGCATGTTAAACCATGGAGAGCTCTGAACAGGGGTTCATGAGTGGTCACAACTTGCATGCCCTTTTTAATATGATTGTGATTTACTGGGTCCCTGAGGTCTCCGGCTTCACACATGTCAAACTGGCTAACCTGGGTATGTTGGTGGATCTCACTGATTCCTGGTTGTATCAGCATTAGTGATCTTTGGGGTTGTTCCCAACTGAAGTGAAGTCCCCGTGATACTTGATATCGATACAGCACAATCCCCAATGCAATCTGGTAGCGGAGGTCATTTCGCTTTTGTTGATATTCCCATTGAGCTTCTATGGACTTACTCGCATTGAGGGCCGACCATGAGGACCATGGACCGCAAACTGGACTGTACCACAGGTGCTTGGGTCGGTGACATGCAATGGTTCGGAACAGCTTCTGGCGACCACTGGTGGTGGACAAATCACCCTGTGCCAAGCCAAATCGGAACGCTTGATGTCCCATATTTTGGATCTGCTGAGTCAATGGTGACTCACTGCTGCAAAAGATTTCACCTACCAAAAAGGGCTTTCCCAGTGGCTTGCTTTCTTTTTGAACCTCCTGGAATTCTTTGGCTATTTTATGGATTAATCTTTGCAGATCCCTGACATCATTGTGAACAGTCTGACAGGACTCCGCGATCAGTTCATCTTCAGGTTGATGATCTAGTCCTTCTGGGCATTCTTCTCGGCCTGGTCCTCCAAGTGCTTGATCACTCGGCCAAGAGCATTCTCCATATGGAGCATGCGCTCCTGGAGGGCTATGACATTCGGATCCTGGACATATGGAGTGGCCCCCGTAATCCCCTGGTTGTACATCTCGAAGGCTTGCTCCTCGTCGATGTCCAGTGGAAGATCCATGGATGCCCCAGATGGAGCCATATGCCTTGCTTTGGCCTTTGCTTGGATGGATCTGTGTCCAGAAGTCTCGCTGATCACGGTGTAACTTCCTGCCAGTGACTCTGGTGGTGGAAACACTGGCACCTGGGTATTCATCTGCTCGTGATGCTCCACCATCAACTCCACAAATCGGATCAGGCGTCGATGTCCAAGTGTCTTGCTGTTTCCGTACTTGGCTGTCATGAAACTGATCCACCCTTGGTCTTCCCAGGCCTTCTCGTAGGTTTCGCCCTGGTGCTTGGACCCGAAGGTCACAACCTCGGACTTCAGATCTGCCAGAGTCAAATGAGACAGATCGGGAAGTGGTACTTCCACTTCGGTCTGCAGGGCTTTCAGTCGGCTGATCAGAGACATGGCTGGTCTCTTTCGGGTGGTTGGCTATGATGTCGGTCACTTGAACCGCAGGCTGATGGTTGAACACCTGATTGACGTGGCTTTCCTCTGATACAAAACCAACGGACCTGTGAACCTTTGCCTCATGACATGCTTCTTGGTTTTCACTGCGGTGAGACACTTCTGACATGTTGAATTTCTGAACTTGCACTTCCTCTGACTGGGCGTCGGCTGACGTTTCTTCAGGGCCACGGCTGTCAGTGCGAGTTGCAAGAAATGTTGACTCGACCAGCTTCGTGTCGAGCTCTGCGGATGTGTGCTGTTTCATGGCTGCTTTGACAAGATCATTTAAATTGACTAGAAAAAGACCTCGTTCGGTGAGTTCCAATGGAATTTCATGATTCAGCACCGGACTGGAAAGGCTGTACTTGGAGCAATCGATGGTGGCCCTAATGGCTCGCATGAACGTGTTGCTGATGAGGAAGGGTGTCCCTCCTTGCATCAGATGGCCTATGGGAACAACAATGGCTTGGCTGCTGGTCAGTGTACCTTGGTTACCAAATTTAAAAGTCACCTGACACGGACATCGTGACAACCGGGCACGAGTCTCCTCATCCAGACTTTGAATTAGGCACTTCACGTGTTCTGACCCAATCACGGTCTTTGACGCACCAAGGTCAAGCACTCCACAGGCATCATGAGTTGCAAAACAAATTGGATTGGTGGGTAAAACTGGTTGATCTGCAGTGTTAGTCATTCTGATGGAACCAGCCTCGTCTGAAACTACTGTTTTGGGCATGACCTTGTCAGTTCTTGAAACGACTGGCAAATCATCTACAGACCTGGATTTCACGGTTTCTCTCTGCTGGAAGTCAGTTGGCATCGTTTGGCGTCCCTCAGTCCTAAGGAGATGGCTGCGCAAACGGTCTTTGGCTGTGAACTTCGTGGACCCAAAACTAATATAGTGGTTATCTCTTGATTCTCCCAGAATACGTCCCCGATAGCTATACTTGACATGATCCTGCATGGGTTCACATGTAAAACAAAACAACAAATTCGGCTTGGGCTCATCTATGGATGTCTCAGGCAAATCAAGGAACTCGAGAGGAAGACTACTGCCACTGTTGGTTGTGATCACAGTGGACGTCGGTGCAGTCGATTGAGCTTCAGTCGAGTTGGCACTTCCCTGACTTTTGAGTGGGCATTCGGCCTTCCAGTGGCCTCGAACTCCACATAGTCGGCATGTGGACGACATGATGCGTTCTTGCAGGGTCTTTTTTGGTCGATTGTCATGAAACTTTCCTTTGCCAAAGGGCTTTCCACCATATCCCTTACCCTTGCCAGCATAGGGTTTTGCAGGAAAGAACCCCCGATTTCGGAATTTTTCTCCCAGGCGATGTCGAGCCTGCTGATATGCTGAAAATGCTGTGGCCAGCTCGCTGTCCTCCTGAACGGTCTCCTGGGCTGCAGCTTCAAAGTCTGCAATCAACAGAGCATCTTGATCTCCTTCTTGAATCAAGGTCTCAAGAAATTCAGCCTCAGCGGCCTCATCCAGTGGGGCGGTGCCTAGATCGGACTCAGCTACGGCTGCATGATCGGTGACGGTGTCAGTCATGAGGGTCGTCCCATCATAAATCTTAGTTCTGGCAGCTTTGCGGCCAGTCATCTCATGGAAAAAGCTTGCACCTAGAACCCTAATGGCTTCATGCACACTCGTCATTGTCAGTTGACCTGAAACCTCACTGTCCATGATGACACGTTTCTTCTCATCGGCTGACAGCAAGGATCCCCGCAACACAACGTATGCTTGAATCTCCTCGATCTTCATCTTTCTGGCTAACGATCGACTCCACATCACATCAGCTCGGGCCAAATAGGAGTCATTGGCCTCGTCAGATTTCTGTATCGTGTGATACAGGGCCTGCTCTGCATCCTCATACTGTCGTTCCAGTGGTATCTTCCCCCACTGACCTCCCAGATGCTCTATCAGCTTTCGAACACATTCTTCATCACCTTTGAGAAGCTCAGTCTGATGTATCTGCAGTTTCTGGAATGCCGTGCCCTTGCATCCCAGGATGAGACGTGTAATCAGTTCCTGTAGCTTCCCCTTAGGCCATGCGGCCAACACCAGTTCGACTTTCTGCTGATAAATCAAAAGGTCATCTGTGGCCGGGTCAAAGGTCGGTACCAGCGACGATAACTGGTTGCTCACGCTCGAGCTCCCTGTTTCAGATGCTGATGACATCGTTGTCCCGGATGCCCCCTTTCGGGGGCTCCGCTACCAATGTAAATGGCAGCAACTCCAGTTGTTGAGAATGATGACAAGTCTGTTGTTGATCGAATGCCAAAATGATTAAATCAAATGTCCAAAAGATCAAACTGCAAACGTCCCACCACGCTCAGAGCAACCTCTGTTTTCCAATGCCAGCTGAAAGTGCAAAAGTCCCGGACTGAGAACACTGGGCTGGATGGTTTCGGTCTCAAGCTTCCAAAAAGGTTGTTTCAGGCACCCTGGCCTATTGTATGTGGTCCCTGCCACACGTGCCCTATGGCTGCAAGGATCTAGGAAACCCACCCAGCCCTCACCTGACCTGCCCTGAGCCAAAAGCTCCTTGAGTCGCGCAGCTGAGAGAAGGTTCGATTGGAGAACCTGGGCATGGTACTGGTTCTAAATTGGAAAAATCACAACTTATATATATATATATTATATAATTATATATATATATAGATGAATGTAGAAAATACATGAGCAAATGCATACGCGGAGGTTTTGGATGTCGGATGTAGTGAACGGTGAATTGCACTTGTGACTGGCCCTGGCATCCGTACGAAGCCGCCCAAGAGCACCATAAGCGTTCATCCTGCCGACGCAATCAGCAATCATGTCGGAGTTACGGTGAGTTGGTATATGTTGGTATTCCCGCATACTCTGCACGGCCTTTGGAGTCCTGGCAAGGCTCACCCTCAAATGTACCGAGCATCACAGAACTGTCGGACCACACCGGGCACTACGGAACTTATCGGTTTTCAATCAGTCTCGCTTCTGTGATATTCAGAATCTCGGCTGAAAAGTCTTGGCTGGAACTGCAGAATCAGCTCTTGCTGCAGCCACAAGCTGGATCCACCTTTTTAAGTTTTGCATCCTTCTGGCCGCAAGCCGCTAGCCGCTAGCCGTATGCAAGAACAAATCTTATTTTTGGCTGTAGCAAATTTACCTGCCCATGCTGACATGCAACTTGCGTCCCTTAGGTGATCTATGCTGCTACCTCGTGCTTTCACATGCGACGAGCCACGGACCATTCGCCTCCCATTTTCAAGGGCTATTGGTGGCCAGCTGTTTTTTGGATGTGCTACAGGCACTGACGACAAGTTTCAGATACCACTACCTTCCCATCCAGCTCGCAGGCTTTTCGATGCGCCGAGCTTACCAAGCAGAATCAACAGAGTATCGAGACTGATATCATCAATCAAAATAGTTCACGGTGGTGGCACTTGACATGATGAACTGTTTGTTTTAGGCACCCAGCATGCGCCCTCATGACTGAGGTGCCTGACATTGCTCGGAACTCTGCAGCTGCTGTGGCCAATCAGCTCATGCAAGGGGGCCCTTCGAGTTGCGGCCGTGCTCTTCACCATACTCTGTGTGGACTTGTTGGCAGTGGCTATCTTGCACAATCACTGGGCGGCTCCAAGGCAGGGAAAGCCATTGGGTAAAGCCGTTGTGGTCCATTCTGGCATCATATACTTGATTTGAATCAGACGACGCGCCTGCAGCAGATGGCCAGAAAGCAGCTGTTTTGCTCAAGTGGCAGCCACATGCCAAAATGTGGCAGCATTTTTCCAGCTTAAGACCCATTTGTTTTGCCATCACAGGATGGTAGATTACAACGAGAAACTCCTCTCATGGAGAATTCTCTTCAGGCTGACAGACAGAGACATGCGCCTGCAATCCCAGTGTTTCGATTGCAGCAGCGAGGTGCAGCATCTTCTCAGGCAGCTTTGGTGAGCGCTGTGGCGGCTGGAGGTGTGGTAGCAGGCGTGCCATGGAGGACGCAGATGGCTCTTCAGAACCCACCTGTTAGAAGCGCCCTGTGGATCGCTGGCGCGCTGCTGCAGCTGGGTGCTTTGAATGCTCAGATGGCACCGGCCGATGTTTTTCGGCATTTTTGGAGTTAGAAAGGCGGCAGCTGGAGGAACGCATACGGGCGGAGAAGAAGGCAACGGCTCCGGTAACTACCGCCCTCAACGGACTACAGCCGTTGCGAAGTGTGAGAGCTGCCCTATTTTTCCGTCAGCGGCTAAGCATGGCATCTATGTCATTGCGGTTGCTTGAAAGGTTTGAAGGAGATGTTTCCCCCTTCCACATGTGATGTGTCTTCCCAGTCGAGGTAGCAGCATTCCAGCGCGAGGTCACGCGCTTTTGCCGTTGTTCTTTAGATGTGTTTCTTTCCTGTTAATGGCAGCACTGCGTTTCTGAATCTAGGTTCGGTCGCAGGTCGCTAGGTTCGGTCGCAGGTCGAAATTTTGCAGGAGGATGGGCCCTATTGGGTGGCAATGGCGTGCCTTGAGTCGTTCAACATGGTCAAGGGATGTTTCCACGTACGGTGTTTAAGGTTGACGTGCTCGTTTGAAAGCACCGACAGGGACAGCGTCAGCCAGGAGCGTGAAAACACATGAAAGGAGAGAAGGCACACAGGCATGTTGAAGGCTATGAGGGCTGGGAGTGCGCAGCATTCTTGACATCCGGTGTGTTTTTATTCCTGGCTGAAGGTTTTTTTTCGGCTGGCACCATTTTCAGTTCGCGAAGCGGGGGCCATGCTCGGCAACTCCCGAATCCTCAGTGGGAACAACCGCTTCACATCGGCGAAGCTAGAGACCAGGCCAAGGCCCCGAACACCCGGTACCCGGGGTCGGGGTTCCTCGTTGCAGGGCCAATTCAAATGGAGTGGAAAAGAGAACCAAAACAATCGGGGTTTGTCTATCACCTTGGTGTGCGAATTGAGTGGCTGATGGCTGACCTACCTATAAAAACTAGTGGAGCCGCAAAAGCTGCAGTGAAGACACATTACCCAGTAGCGGTGTTCAATGCAATCTTCTCTGATCAAAGTAGAGGGTAGTTCTAATGGAGCTGAGATAACCGAAGACGACAGGACCTGGGACACACGCCTGACCAAGACAGCAAGAAAAACCAAATCACAACAAATCCCCTTACTCTGGCTTGCGGGGGTCAATTTTAAGTTGGTACGCTCCCATAAGTAAAAGTTTGGGGGGTAACACCCTGGCACGCAGCTGCTTTTCTCTTGGCGCATCTGTGGGGTAGGCGGCGAAAGAAATGGCACTGATCAGGCGGTTTCAACACAGTCATGTGCACTCAATGCTAGCTGGCTGCGAATTCGATCAGTCAATGATTTCCATTTCCATATCTGCCACAGGCGAAGCCTGCGGAGTGTCTGGTGCCTGGCCATCTTGCATTGTTTTGAGGCGTTTCGTGATACGCGACAGATGCTCGCGAGCACTGGTTAGCCCCGTTTCATAAAAGGCCACTCTTTCACTGGCTGCCTTCTGCATGTTCTGCAATGTCGGGATGTCCGCTGCGGCTAGGTCAACGTCCTGTTTGGTTTCACAGGCGGGCTCAGGGCTACTAGCAACAACAGTGTCAGTGGCTTGCGTCTCTGGCGATTCATTTGGTGTGTCAGCAGGCGACGATTCTTCTGTCGGTGTCTCGTTGTCAACAGCGGGTTGCTCCTTTTGAGGCGGCTGCTGTTCTTCAGCTCTGTTGTGTGCTGTAGAGTGAGAGTCAGAGGATAACGCACCGGTACCCGGGGTATCCGTCTTTGATTTGCAGAGAAAGACAGAGACAGCAAACTGACATCACAAGTGAAACAACATCCCACCAATAGAATAATACTAAAAGGCATTCGCTTTGCAAAATCAAAGTCCACGTCAAACATTGAAAGCTGAAAAAGCACGGAGGAGAAAGGGAGACAGCGCATGCTAGGAAGTGTAGAAGGCGACGGGCGCAGAAAGAACGAGCCAGACAGGAACCTTGTTTAATAAGGCACCCCAACACAAAACACCCTTTCACCACCTTCTCGGACCCAACACGCTGCTGGGACAAGGGGCCGGCGCTGAGGTTTAGGTGACCTCAACCTCAAACTTGCTTCAACGTCCAAGCTAACCTCAGGCTGACCTCTAGGTGAGCTCCAGCTCACCCTTCCAGGTCACACCTATACGACCCTGAAATCTCGCACATGGAGGGAAGAGAAGAGGGAGTTGCGTCGTGTGGAGAAGCGCGCAAAGGTGGAAGGACGAAAAAACACACACGCGGGTCAATAGGGTTTTTCGGCTTACAATGCATTCTGCCTGTAAAAGAAAGACAGAGAAAGACAGAGAAAGAGAGAGGGGGGTGACCGTAGATTTGTTTCTTTGCTGGACTCTAGGGTTGCAAAGGGAGCACATGGAAAGGGCAGATCCTCGGCTGTTAGTCTTGCCCCTTCCCTGTACCGTGGATGCTGCCTTCAGATAGCAGGAAAGTTGCATGGGTCACTTGGGTTTGCACCGACCCGCTTGAACACCGCCGATGCCCCCACCCGCGAAAAGGATCTGCCTTGTCCTGCAGATCACAGCGTTGTGGACTTCCTTCCTGTCAGTCAACTCTCCCGTCTGCATGCCCTTCAGGTCTCCCGGCCTGTTGCTGGTTGGCTTCGACTCTGCATTCTCCTTGTGTGCGTCCGAGGTGGTGAGGCAGATACAGGTTTTGGATTTCCAAGCATGCCGCCCTGTGGATTCCCGGGCTTTCCTGGTGAATTTTCGGTTGGACTTTTTGACCGTCTTGGTTCTTGCTTGTCCTTTGCCGTGTCTGCTGTGTCTGTCCTCCTTGGCGTTGGACTTCCCTGCGCTATCGCTGTGCTTGGAGTGACCTACCTTGGATTTTGCCTGGCTTTTGGACTTCCCAAGCCACTCTTCTCTGGCGTGCCCCGTTTTGGACTTCTGTGCGCCCTTCTGTGCTGCTGCTCCCTGCGTGTAAGTAGCCCCCAAATTAATTATAGTAAAGTTTGGGTTGGTCTCGCAGTCGTTCCAAGCTTCAGTCATGGCATGCCTCTCAACCCTGGAAATGCAGATGAACAACAGAGGGCAAGACGACGTGCAGGTATCGTCTTGCAGGCTGACAGAGTAGTCCTCCAATCAACAAGGAGTCGTCGTGATGACCTTCTCACAGCGTCTGACCTCTGGCTTGCAGAAAACATGCAGGTCACACTGCATGAGTTGCTTTCTGGCAGGTATGATGCTGAGGCCATCTCAGATGCCCTGGTGTGTTATGGGCCATATGGGAAAGAACTGTACACAGCTGGAAAGGCGTATGGCAGATTCTCTGAAACCATCAATGGGATTACAGCGAGAAAGCCGGGTTTGCGCAGACAATTAGCTTCAGCGTGGGATCTGGCTTTCAATTGGGTCGTTGATGAGCCGCACGAGCACCACACAGCATTGCCCTTGACAATCATGCTGGCTTTGTCTGCACTTGCCCTCCTTTGGGGATGGGCTCGTGAGGCCAGCCTTATAATGTTGGGCTGGGCAGGTGTTCTTCGTGCGGGAGAGCTGTTTGCGGCTTTCAGGGCTGATTTGGTGCTGCCCAGAGATGCAGCCCCGGGCACCTATCATGCCCTTGTCAAGATTCGTCAACCAAAAACTCGTGGCCGGGCTGCAAAACATCAAGCGGTTCGAATTGATCCATCTGACGTTGTGGCTCTGCTCTCAGCAGTCTTTGGGAACCTGAGCAGCGCTGAGCCCCTTTGGCCCCTGTCACCAGCAACCCTACGAAAGAGGTTCAGTCTTCTTCAAGCGTCACTTGGCCTGGGTCTACAGACAAGCCTGGTGGGATGCCCTTCTCCTTGGCTTCTCTTCGACCAGGTGGAGCCACATTTTGGCATTGACCAGACGCTGGACAGTGAGTTTGTTCGCAGGAAAGGACGCTGGATCAATTCGCGGGTGCTCGAAATCTACCTCCAAGAAGCTGCAGTTGCAACTTTTGCCGAAAGAATGACCGAGGATTCCAGACGCAGAGTTGAAAGCCTTGTAGGTAGTTTCCCTCAGATTTTGCAGAAATCTATCTTTTTCAAGAACTGCTTCATTCCTGAAGCAACATGGCCAAAGTTGTGGTGAAGCGGGGATGTTGGGAATATGGCCTTTTTCCAGTGGCGCAACTTGTGTCTGCACCACCAGTACAGATGAGAGCCGTCAGGCAGACATGGAAAATGTGCAGCTTGAGCACTTGACCTCACTAAGTGCGAATGTGTAACGTTTCCTCTCAAGCTCTCCCTCCCTACTAGTGCCTAACCAATGGCTCACCACTTTGGCCTTTTTCCAGTGGCGCAACTTGTGTCTGCACCACCAGTACAGATGAGAGCCGTCAGGCAGACATGGAAAATGTGCAGCTTGAGCACTTAATTAGTTGTATCTCATTGTGGTAACTGGGTCCATGCTGGGCTTTTGGACGCATGGGGTATTTGCATGTTGGCTACCTTAGATCTTCGAGTTCCTTGTGAGGTCTTTGCCTTCTTGGACTTCTCTAGAGTATTTGGGCCTGGCATTGTATACGGCAGCCTCTAGGCAGCATTTTGCGCCATTAAAGGATTCGAGTGCCATGGCTGAGGCGCGCTCCTCCATCACGGTTTGTCGGCTCATGTCACCTCGACATATTCTTGCTTGCTTGCTTGCTTGCTTGCTTGCGTGCATGCGTGCGTGCTTGCTTGCTTGCTTGCTTGCTTGCAGCATTCCTGGCGTCTTTCGACTTTTTTATTGTCGCGCAGGCGTTGCTTTCAGAAAGCCTTTGTTGTGGTGCGCGAAGCCGCGACGCCTATGATCATAGGCTAAATCTGTCTCAATGTTGAATCAATTTGTTTGAGTCTATATAGTTATCCCCATCTGGTGATGCAGTTGTTTTTTTCCTGGGCGTCCACTACCAAAATTAATTATTTTGAAATCTTCTATTTGTCCGTTTGCACATGCTACATCCATGATGCGCCCTTCGAACCCAGGAAAGAAATTTTTGGTTCAACATTATTTTCCTTTGGTGTACAAATGCCCGGCAACAGGAAAACAATTTTTGTCATGTTTTTCATGGGGGGTGAGTGCACCCGAACATATATGTACGTCAAATCCCAGGAAAAAAATGATCCATGATTGTTTGAGGGGGTATGGTTCTTTACATGAATTCACAAGGTTGGGAACAAGGATTTTTTGTGCCGTGGCAATGCTGGATATACATAGGTCAGACATCAGAAAAGGAATCTTTCCCAGTACTTTATGGACACAGGTAGCTGGATTTGGGTTTGTCTGTAATGAGGTAACCCCACCCACGTCGATCCTAATTGGGACAATAATATCGGCGGCCGCACTGCTCATTTTGTTGTCCTGGCCCTCCAGTTCAGAAAGAAAGGACTGGATAACCCCACAAGTCAACTTCTACCAATAATGGGCACCAAATGTTGTAGCGGGGACGGGGAAGGAAGGAAAGACAAAGGAGGTGGTGGAGGATCGAGAAGTAAAAAAAAGTTGTGTGTGACAAAGTTGTATGTGAAAGATGGTGTGTGACAAAGAAAGATGGTGTGCGTGTGTGTGTGACAAAGTTGTGTGTGAAAGATGGTGTGTGTGTGTATGTGAAAGTTGTGTGTGAAAGAGAGCGTGTGGCAAAGTTGTGTGTGAAAGATGGTGTGTGACAAAGATGGTGTGTGAAAGATGGTGTGGCGAAAGATGGTGTGTGACAAAGTTGTGTGTGAAAGATGGTGTGGCGAAAGGCAGTGTGTGACAAAGTTGTGTGTGAAAGATGGTGTGTCAAAGATGACGTGTGACAAAGTGGTGTGTGAAAGATGGTCTGTGACGGTGTGTGCAAGATGGTGTGTGACAAAGTGGTGTGAAAGATGGTGTGTCAAAGATTGTGTGTGAAACATGTTGTGTCAAAGAAGGTGTGTCAAAGATGGTGTGTGACAAAGTTGTATGTGAAAGATGGTGTGTGAAAGATGGGTGTGTGACAAAGTGGTGTGTGAAAGATGGTGTGTGACAAAGTGAAAGATGGTGTGTGAAAGATGGTACGTGTGACGTGTGGTGAAAGATGTTGTGTGAAAGATGGTGTGTCAAAGAGGGTGTGTGTGAAAGATGGTGTGTGACAAAGTGGTGTGTGAAGGTAGATATCACCAAGTGCCACGCCGGAACGTCAATGTCACCAAGCGCCACGCCTGCCACGCAAATGGAACGTCAATGTCACCAAGTGCCACGCCGGCCACGCAAAGTGGCGCGGCCCCCCGGGCGACTAAAGCGCGCCCAAGCACTCCGCCAGAGCCAGCCCAGTGCCATAAGTGCCTTGCTTGCCACGCAAACTGAAGGTGGATGTCACCAAGTGCCACGCCTGCCATGCGAAACGAACGTCAATGTCACCAAGTGCCGCGCCTGCCGTGCAAAGTGGCGCGGCGCCCCAGGCGACTAAAGCACGCCGAGGCGCGCCACCAGATCGAGCCCAGCAGTGCCCTAAGTGCCACGCTTGCCACGCAAAACGAAAGTAGATAACACCAGGTGCCACGCCTGCCACGCAAAGTGAAGGTGGATGTCACCAAGTGCCACACGTGCCACGCGAAGCGAAGGTAGATGTCGCCAAGCGCCACGCCTGCCATGCAAAGTGGCGCGGCGCCCCGGGCGACTAAAGCGCGCCCAAGCGCGCCACCAGAGCCAGCCCAGTGCCATACGCGCCACTCCTGCCATGCAAAGTGACAAAGTGACCAAGCGAAAAGGCAATGCAAAGTGGCGCGCCGCGCCCAAGCACGCCACCAGAGCAAGCCCAGTGCCATAAGTGCCACGCTTGCCACGCAAAGTGAAGGTGGATGTCACCAAGTGCCACGCATGCCACGCGAAACGAACGTTAATGTCACCAAGTGCCACGCCTGCCACGCAATGTCACCAAGTGCAACACGTGCCACGCAAAGAGGCGCGCCGCCCCGCAGTGCCATAAGCCCCGCAAAGTGCTGCGGCGTCGGCGACTAATCGCGTCCCAAGCGCGCCACCAGATCGAGCCCAGTGCCCTAAGTGCCACGCCTGCCACATGGAACGAAGGTAGACGTTGTGTGGATGTCACCAAGTGATCCAAGTGCCACGCCTGCCACATGAAACGATGGTGGATGTCTCCAAGTGCCACACCTGCCACGTGAAACGAAGGTGGATGTCACCATGCAAGTGCCACACCTGCCACGCAAAGTGCCGCGGCGTCACTGGCGACTAATCGCGCCCCAAGCGCGCCACCAGATCGAGCCCAGTACCATAAGTGCCACGCCTGCAGGCCGCCTGCCGCGCAAAACGAAGGTGAATGTCGGCAAGTGCCCCGCCTGCCACGTGAAGCGAAGGTGGATGTCACCAAGTGCCATGCCTGCCACGCAAAGTGCTGCGGCGTCACCGGCGGCTAATCGCGCCCCAAGCGCGCCGCCAGATCGAGCCCAGTGCCCTAAGTGCCACGCCTGCCACGCAAAACGAAGGTAGATGTCGCCAAGTGCCACACCTGCCACATGAAAAAAAAGGTATATGTCACCAAGTGCCACGCCTAACACGCAACCTGCCAGGCGCCACGCGAAGCGAAGGTGGATGTCGCCAAGTGCCACGGCTGCCACGCAAAGTGCTGCGAAAGATAGTGTGTGACAAAGATGTGGGTGAAAGATGGTGTGGTGAAAGATCGTGTCTGACAAAGTGGTGTGTGGAAGATTGTGTGTGACAAAGATGTGGGTGTAAGATGGTGTGGTGAAAGATGATGTGTGAAAGATGGTGGGTGATGGTGTGTGTGTGTGTGCGCGCGCGTGTGTGTGTGTGTGACGTGTGGTGATGGTGAAAGATGGCGTGTGAAAGATGGTGGGTGACAAAGTGGTGTGTGACAAAGTGGTGTGTGAAAGATGGTGTGTGACAAAGTTGTGTGTGAAAGATGGGTGTGGTGAAAGATGGTGTGTGACGTGTGTGTGTGTGTGAAAGATGGTGTGCGACAAAGATGTGGGTGCAAGATGGTGTGGTGAAAGATGGTGGGTGACAAAGTGGTGTGTGGAGGATTGTGTGTGACAAAGATGTGGGTGTAAGATGGTGTGGTGAAAGATGCTGTGTGAAAGATGGTGTGCGACAAAGATGTGGGTGCAAGATGGTGTGGTGAAAGATGGTGTGTGACAAAGTGGTGTGTGGAGGATTGTGTGTGACAAAGATGTGGGTGTAAGATGGTGTGGTGAAAGATGGTGTGCGAAAGATGGTGTGGTGAAAGAGGGTGTATGACAAAGAGGGTGGGTGACAAAGCGGAGGCGGCGGAGGAGGAGGAGGAGGAGCGGGGTGGTACAGAATTAAAGCAAAAATTAAAGGACCGGATGACCCCACAAGCCAACTTCTTCCTAACATGAGCTTCAATGGTTTTAGCGGGGACAGGGAAGGAAGGAAAGACAAAGGAGGTGGTGAAAGATCGAGAAGGTAAAATGGTAGGTATGTATGTATGTAATATATGTATGTATGTATGTATGTATGTATGTATGTATGTATGTATGTATGTATGTATGTATGTATGTATGTATGTATAGTGTCCCCCAAGAAGATAGAAAAGTTTTTTTCAGGATGTTACGTCCTGAAAACCGACGGGAAAATTTTGACCCGACATCCTGAAAACCGACGGGAAAATTTTGACCGAAATTTTGAGGAGAAATTTCCTGATGAAAACTTTGCAAACATGGGACCCCGACAGTTGAAAAGTAACACATGCAGCTACATGCAGTTCTGACCCAGTATGGGTGGTAAAGCACGCAAATAGGTGGGGGATACTAAAGATAGAAAAGTTGCAAATATAGTTTGAACCCGGGGGGTGCAGCAAACAAGGCAAACAGGTGGGAGGATACTGAAGATAGAAAAGCAACAAATGCAAATTGTTGACCCGTCTAAACCATGCGAATGTCGTGAAGTGAAGGAACAAGACATGAACACCACAAATGAACCCCTTGACCTGGGGTGCATGGAAGAAATGCCATTTGTTTTGTTGGATCTTGGTCCTGGGTTCCTGCTTTGCAGTTCTGTTGGGTGCTGTTCCTTCAAACACATCCTTTTTTCAAAGGTTTTAAGGGGTGGATGCTGGATCTCATTTTCCTTTTTTGTTTCTGTTTGGATGCATTGCTTCTATTTAAGGCAGCTATTTCATTGCAAAATCTATTCAAATTAAAGTCTGAAGCCATGTAAATGGGCAGCGGGGCACCGAAATTAAAAAGTAACACATGCAGCTACATGCAGGTTCTGACCCAGTATGGGTGGTAAAGCAATAGGTGGGGGATACTAAAGATAGAAAAGTTGCAAATATAGTTTGAACCCGGGGGATGCAGCAAACAAGGCAAACAGGTGGGAGGATACTGAAGATAGAAAAGCAACAAATGCAAATTGTTGACCCGTCTAAACCATGCGAATATCGTGAAGGTACAAGACATGAACACCACAAATGAACCCCTTAACCTGGGGTGCATGGAAGAAATGCCATTTGTTTTGTTGGATCTTGGTCCTGGGTTCCTGCTTTGCAGTTCTGTTGGGTGCTGTTCCTTCAAACACATTCTTCTT